ATTTTTGAAAGATTTTTTCGTCTTTTATTTTTTTTTATTTCTCACCTAAGAATATAAACGGAAAATGAGAACTTATTTTTGTGAAGTAAAAACAAGCAAACATGAGTAAAATCAACATTTCAAATCTGTTTAAACAAGGATGACATGAAGGGCACATGTTCATTTGTTGGCAGCACCAGCTAAGCTTTGCCATTTGCAACTGTACTAGTGTTAAATTATCTGTTTTTTAGCAGGCTTAATATTAGCATCAGTACTATTAAACCTTGATGAGAACATTTTACAGCTATTTAACAAGACATTGTGTAAATTTATTCCCTGACATACAGGGAAATGTTGCTGTTCATTAGCAGCGACTGCATCCCGAGTCAGAAGCTCAGGTGACTTCCATGTTTGACTGCAGTGCAAAACCTGAATTCCCTAAAGCTGGATTTAGATTTTATATTTTATTCTCCAGTAACAAAACCTTCTTAATCAAAGGACTATTTCTAGTTCTTAATTTGTATTTAAAATCAATATTTAATCACAGTACAGCCATATAACTAATTTAACAACATTCACAGTGAGTGGTAAAAAAAGGAAAAACTGAATCCAACATCTTTATTTAATTTTAATCAATAATATTTAGATTGTTAAAATTAAATCATTATTTACAGTTTTAATCATTAATTCCGGACATTAACCTATATGGTTAAAATGCACATTATTTTTTTTTTCTGTTTATAACTAGAAGATATTTCTAACATTGCCTTCCAAATTCTTACTCTTTACAAATTTATCATTACTTTATCCAGACCAGAAAGATTCAAATAGTTTTATAGCACTGAAGTGTATGGAGTTCACAAATAAATAAAAAAAAAATCATTGGATCAATGAGTTTTTATTCTACACATAAAATTAATTAGCAACAAATGTATTAATCATTAAATTAAGTGGAAATTTGATGAAACAAGTTTAACTCATCATCTATTATTAAACAAGCTTATGCTGTACACACAACTCTCTTCACCAAAATGCCTTGTGGAAAAATTCCGTTTTTACATCTCGCACTGTTCAAGAAAATGGAGACAAAAGCAGCTCCATTCTGTGCCAATGATATGCATGGAAAAAAATGTGACAAAAGATGCTGCAAGGATTTATTTTCCTCTTCTTTCTTCCTTTTGTTTAAAGCAAAAATCTTGATGCTTTGGTCAGCTCACAACCTACAGGGTCCTGCTGGTGTAGATGGAAGATGGAGTGAAGCACTTATTAATGTTGTCGCTGCAGCTTCCTGCTTGAACACACACTTTCGCTACTGTATGTCACCAATGCAAAGGCTGCACTTTGCTTTTTATTTCCATTAAATGTGTTTAAACTCTGTTTTTATTTTTATTTTTCTCTCCCTGAATCTGTATCTATTTTGGCTCAGTTTTTCTTTGTGGAAAATTAGAAAAAAAAAATCAAGCTTATTTATTTTCATAACTCATTGAATAAAAAAGGTTATATTCTTAGGCTTTTTCTTCAGTCTAAGATTCTGTTGGTGGTAATGAGTGGTTCTATGAAGAGCATAAGTGAATGGATTACCCCTATAAACTATCTTGCTATTCCTCTGATTACTTCCAGTCAAACAACCTTACAGACAAAATATATTTAATTTTTTTTAACTAGACATCCCAGCATTTATTGGTACATTGTTTTCTGGACCAGAGCAGGTTTTGATGCCTTGAATACTTTGATGTATTTTATGAACATAAATTACATTAGAGTGTTAGTTTGACTAAAATCAGCCGATAGGTTTTTTTAAATAATTCTCCACATTTTCTGAGCCCCTGTTTTTTCTTTTAAACACAAAAAGCAACTTAGTAATGTTTTTAGCTTTATTTCCTCCTGACAACCTTGGGGTTGTAGATCAGGCTAGTAGTTGCGACAAACATTTTCAAAAAGCTGCATTTGATACAAAAATATCCAATAAATCAAATCGCCTGATGGAGATTTTACACCATATTTCAAATTGATATCGTTCACTCATCCCCTTCCCTTGAATGCAAACTTGATTATAAGCCTGCAGCACAATAAAACCCATGGAACTCAGTTCTTTGCTTTGGTTTTAGGCTAACCCATTAAAAAAAACAATCTTGAACACCCTTAGACATAGCCAGTGTGTTATTACGCACAGTAACTCTTGTCATTGTCAACAATCTAGTATTAAAGGTTGGTTTTATTCTGAATTTAGAGCAGGGATTACACACTCAGAGACAGGAGAATGCATTTCCTCTGCTCTCAACCTTCCACTCATGGTGAGCGTCTCACTATTGCACCTGCTGTCAAATCGTTGTGACTCAATGAGGCCCCCTGCAGGTTTAAGCCTAGCGATGCTGAACAGCGAATTTGCGAAATTTGACACATTTTGCATTCTTAAAAAGCGGATCTGCATCACTCAATGAAGACGCAGAGACGCAAATTAGACAAACTTACAACAGAAAGAATTAAAACTTCTCAGAGGATTAAAAAAAACATGTTTTTTTTAGTTAAATATTGATTGAAATTGCAGATTTTGTGTTTAATCTTGTAAGAATCCTGACTTTGTTCATTAAAAGCAGAGGTGTTGTTTTTAAGAACCTTACTTAATCTCTTTTGTTCGCTGTCGTTGAACTGTGATGATCCCTTCCATTTATGTCTGCCTATCCTATTGCGCCACACCGTGGAGAACCCTGGAGCTCCTCTCCTCCGCTTCTCCCTCCATCTAACATTTTAAAAACCTGCGCTGCAAACTGCACTAATTGCCTGTGGACTGTTTACGTCCTGTCTGGTTTTGTTTTGAAGAGCGATATGATTATGCTCTCAAGATCCATAACAATGTCATAAACCGCAATCATGCACTTAAAACGACAGTCAAGTTTGCTGCTATGTGTGTTCATTAAAGCAAGAGAGGGAGGGAGGGGGGTGCACACTAATTTCAACAGTTGGAATTTAGTTGCAGTAATTTGCAGTGATGGAATAAGAGGACGTTTACAGGTAAAAGCTGCAGGACGCCAATCGCGGACCTCTGCTGCCATCTTGTGGTGGTGCACCGCAACAGTCTCCTCTCCCTCTTTCTTAATATCTGCACTGCTTAACTATATCTAATCTGGATCTTCTTTAAAGGCAATAATAGCCAGATCGCTTCCTTTAAATGAAAAAAGCGCCGCTTATTATAGCTTTGAAATCCTCGTTTACGTGGCGATGTGCACGATAGAGAAATGATTCATGTGGAGGTTCAAACGTGCAGGATGACGAAGATCCACCAGTGTCCCGAGTGCACATTTCCTCGAGTATTGCATTGCAAGGTGTATAATAGAGTTATCCACGCAGGTTGAGCTTTGAGATGCTTGTTTTAAAGTCGTACTGCTTTATCCCCTCAAGCAGCCAAAAGCAATTTCCTATAAATCTGACCCTGTAGCAAAGCAGTTGAAGGAATTCGGTTATTTTCTGCAGACTTAATAGCAGGACAAAGGTGAAAAAGTTTGAATTTAACGTTTCTGTTTGATCTTGTAGGCTAATGGACAGCTTTTCTATAATGTATGTATTTTTTTTAATGCCGCTACATATATATATTTTTTCCTACAATATAGGAACGACATAATCATACAATGCACATTTTTTATGTAAAATTTTGCAGAATTTCCAATATATGTGCGCACCAGCAACCGAAAAACTAGTATTCTTTTGTAGATATTTTTTCCAAGGAAAAAAAAAATCTAAATCGCAAAGATAATAGTATCAGAAATAAAATTTAAAAAATGGAAATAAACGCTCCTAATTGTGCGTAAATATCCCCCGCATAGAAAACAAATCAAACCTTCTGAATGCAGGTGAGATCAATATAACTTCCCCTATTAATTTAGGTTATTTTTAGAAAAAAAAAAAAAAGGTTTTGTATCTTTTCAAATGGAAGTGTCAAATAGTTTTCCATATTGCCATCTTACGACCAGGCCTTAGCGGGGGTGTTCCAAAAAAAAAAAAAAAAAAAAAAAAAAAAAAGACTGTGCAGAATGAATTATTTTTGTGCTTCTTTTTTTGCTGTATAATAATCAGCCTTTAACTTCGGGGAAAAAAACTGGGATTGAAGGCAAAGAGAAATGAGAAGGCTGTTGTTGGCATAGCTCTATCAAGGAAGAAGGACTCCCTGTCACGCGTGAATGGGGCTTCTCTGTTTTGCCTCCCCGACCAGAATAGATATAGCACGGATTTTGAATTCGTTTTTCTTTGAGAGAGAGAGAGACAACAGTGCTTTACTTGAGAGCTTGATACAATTTAGGGGCTTGTGAGAGAGATCCTTTTCTCCTCTTCCGAACCCAGCTGCCCATATGGGACGCAACGTGTGCAGCAAAGATCACAATGGCACCAAGTAATAGGCGGGGGGACAAAAAGCCCAAAGGATTCATCTCCCTGACTCTGAACAGCACCGAGGAACTCTGTCTATCTGCGCTGTCTGCGTCTCAACTCGTGCTGCTAGTTAATATGCACGCCTCTAACATGCAGCAAAACCAGGGCCTGTGTGCGCTTTTGTCTTTTTACTGCCTTGTGTACAGTATTGTCTAGAGCTGGATTCAGGCCGACAGAATTCAAGGAGGAAGAGACAGAAATCTTAAGCATTACCCATCACTTTTTATTATTATTATTAAAATCATAATTTAAATTCAAATTCCATCCACCTAATATTATCTTATGTCAGATTTCCTAGAAATATTTTATTTTTCTTATGCGGGGCTTCCTATTTTTAATAAATTCACACCGTTGAGATGTAAATCTTACAATATATTCTGTTTATATTTATTTTGTGTTTGCATTCATTTTCTTTTTTGGAAGGGCGTTTTATTTTTATTTTTTTAATAATAATAATAACAATAATAAATAAACAATAAAGTTGCTGATTTATTTGACCTACAAGCTCAACCGGTGTTGAAACAGAAAAGCCTTTTGAATTTGCCCCCCACCCCCGCTTTTCTCACAAAGCAGAAGCCCTCACCCCCCACCCCCCCGAGAATATAGATTCTGTAAATAATTAGCAAATCTGGACTAATTTAGCTGTTTGTTTGGTGATGATAGGGGCGAGCCTAACATCTGCTGGGTAGAATTTTGTCCCGGGACAAACAAAAAAAAGCATGGATTTTTCTACTGGGGGGGTTATCATATTTACCCAAGAGACTGAGCAGAGTCAGATAATCCGCAGTGTGCTGCGCAGTAACCCATTGGCTTTTACTGCGGCAAATAAATAAAAAAAATCTAATAGAATACAATGTGTTCTAATGTCCGGTTTGGAATCTTATGCGTAAAAGTATTGATGGTAAAACTTTAGCAGAAGACTCAACTGCGGGATTCCAGCTGTTAAACAAAGGAAGCGCATTGATTGCGCTTCCTTTATTTGCAATTTAGCGCTTAATAAGATAACCAAACATTTATTGCATTAAATAATTGCTTTCCGTCCGCTGTATGCCACTCTACAACCAAGGCCGGGGGTGCTGACAAAAAGGAGAGCTTTTGAGTCAAAAGCTTCTTGTGTTGAGAAGCCCACTTATATTAAGTGAGTGGATTTTAGTCCCATTTCACAAGTGACTTTAGGCTCTTTATCGACGAGTTGTTCGGACAGAGAAAAATATTCCCTGGATTAAATTTGACTAAAAGGAAAACAGAGTTGAAGTGCGCTAGACATTTATTCCCATTCTGCGCCACAATCCAGTGTTTGGCTCACTTCGCCCCTTTAAAACGAAACCGATAGGACACTTGTCAAACCAATGCTTCTTTTTAGTCATATTTCATTTAAAATATATGATCTTAAAATGAAGATATTTCTCAACGATTGTTAAGATATTTTAAGCAATTCGTCTGCGTTTATTATTTTGTCTGCCCCATAGAATTTTGTTGTTTTTTTTAATTGGAAAAATACATTTGGAAACAAATCTCAGACTGCATCTAAATGCACCATTTGGTCTCAAATATTTACAAGAAAGAAAAACAAAAAAGGTGAAAACTTGCCAGTTTTTATTCATGGCCATAAATATTTTTTCGGTCCATAAAAGAAGCAAGAAATAAAATTTTGTTTCTATAATTATAAAGTGGTTCGCACGTGCTGATAATAACACGAAGAGACAAAAGAAAAAAAAAAGAAAAAGAAATTAAAAGTAAAACATCTCTACAACCAACACACAACATACTTTACAAAAAAAAATATGTCACAAGAAGAGCATTGAAATTTCTTAATAAAATCTATAAGGGAGAGGTTTGGACCCAGTTCTCTTAACGAAAACATGTAAACACGGCGCACACATGAGCCCCGAATAAAAATGGTAGTATATATATGAGTCAAGCTGCAAAAATGAAGTCTTTTTTTTTATTTGATGTTTTTTTTTTTTTCCTTTCTTTGCGGTGAAACTCTCTACAGCCCACCCTCCAAACCAAGTCTCTATATGTTTTCTCACCAAGTCCACTGTTGCGTTTGCACCAAGTGATGTGCTGTGGGGAACTGCGGCGTGGCCGCGGCGCCGTACTGCGCGTTATACTGCATGTGTTGGAGCGACTGCGCGCTATACGCCGAGAAAGGGATCCCGGCCTGAAAAGTGGCCGCCAAGTCCTGAGCTTTAAGAGTGTGACAAGGCTTCCCATCCCTGACTAAGACGGGCACGGCCACCCGCCGAGGAGAGGGGAGATGGGTCACTTCCATACCTTTCTCGGCCCGGGCTCTCTTCATCTTATACCGGTGGTTCTGGAACCAGATCTTCACTTGGGTTGGGGTGAGGCGGATGAGGCTAGCCAAGTGCTCCCTCTCTGGGGCAGATAGGTACCTCTGCTGTCTGAAACGACGCTCCAGCTCATATGTTTGCGCTTTGGAGAACAGCACCCTCCTTTTCCGCTTCTTGCCCGAGTCGCTGCCACCGCTGCTGGAGGTCTCCTTGTCGTTGTCTGGGGATTCGTCATCCGCGGACGGCTCCGGGGACTTGGCCGAGTCCTGCGAGCTGGCGGACAGACCGTGCACTGCGACAAGAAACGGGAGAAACACTGTCAAAATGTTATATCGGGAAGTTTTAAGAGAGATTTCTTACAGACACATGTCATTTAGTAAGGATTAAAGATAAAGGATGCATTTTACATAAAATCTACTGGTGCGCAAAATGCCTGAGGCGCATACTGAGATGTAGGATCCCCATAAAGACATAAATGGCCAATAATTCGACACAATGCAACTCTTTAGATTAAAATGATTGCAAATCATTGCTCTAAATAGGGGAAAAAAAGTCAGACTTCTCAGAAAACAGAAAGAACCAGTGAAGCAGAAAAGCTGCATTGTCTTCTTACACCCTTCACATCACCAACCTCTGGTTTAACTCCAAAAACTGAAGCTGACAATAAAACTACAGAGAAATTTTAATTCAAACTCTCTTTTTTTTTTATTATTTCGCCTGTTGTGACAAAAGCAAAGTGCTTTAAGACTTAACACTGCATGCGCACTGTGCCAAAGGAAGAGCTGTGCACGCCACCCCAGGGCATAATTAATGCGCTATATGAGCATGAATGTAATCAATTATCAATTTGCTTGTATCAGATCAAAATAGCATATAAGTCATGGAATATACGACTCTACTTACATGAATACTGAATGCTGTCCGTAGTTGCGAGCCATCGTGTGTAGGGATTGTCGGTACTGTCATAAAAGGGGTTCTTTAAAGGCAGATTCTGGACGTTTTCTAGAGGACTTTGCACCAAAACTCCTGCGTTTTTCGTTGTCGATGCGGTCTCCGATCCTTCTGTGTCTTCCTCCGCTCCGGTGATAGATCCGTCCTCGTCATTAGTGTCAGGAAGGTCCAAAATGTCCTTTACAGAAAAGCCCGTCTTTGTGTTGGTCAACGACATATTCTGGTAGGGGGGGAAATATGCAAGGAAAAGTTGCTTGCAGCAGCTTTTTTTCGGAACAATCCGCTGTTGTGAGAAGAGAAAAAACTAACAAAGAGAGAAGAAGAAAAAAAAGCAGAGGGGAAAAATTGGGATGAGTAAGTGTCGCTCTACGCTGAAGTACAGTCAAAACAGCCTCTGTGGATAACCATCGCCTATGAGCAAAGCAAGAAGCAGTGGATTCGGTCTCTGTAAGTCCAGGAAGGATGCCAAAGTGGCTCAAGTGCTATATGCAGCTCATGGATACTGTGCTACTGCTGGGTGCTAGAGGGAAATAAGCCATTACCTTGTCCCGATCAGTCCATATAAGGTTGGTCTCAACACATGAACCTGCAGTGAAAAAGCATTAAAAAACGCGAAAGGTTGGCCACGTGTGGGCGGGTCTTAGGAGTCAAGTGGATGAAGACAGTGTTTGCAGATGTGAAATTGTGGGTTTTGGGGAGATCCGAGCCTCTACCATTGGTGCTTCAGAGAATGATGAGTGGTATAACGTGTCAATTAATTACAAAGACGGGGAGGGCCTTTTTTTTTTACACCCTATTTACATACAAAGAACCTCCAAGTGTCCAAGTAGCTTTATACTCACAATAGTTAAAAAGCCCAGTTCTGATAAATTGATCCCAAAGAAGCTTTTGCTCGTAGGTTTTAAAATGCAAAAAAAAAATATAAATATGTATTTTTTCACCTATGCATCATCTTTTGTTGAGGTGGGTGGGTGGGGGGCATTGAGTTATTATATAAAATAACAACAATAACAAAAAATAAAAATAAATTGAGCTGTTGAAGTATTAGTGCATAATTTATGTAAACCTTTGTGTCAATATTTTTTCCACGGCTTAAGGGCGAGAGGTTGTGTTGAAACTAAAGCATACTTAAAAACGCTATTCAAGACAATAATAATAAATAATAATAAGATGACTTGCGATGGCTGGTTTCTGAAAAAAAAAAATCTTTGCATTTTTTTCTTAATGCTTTCCCTCCAGGCAAATATTTGCTTTCAGTTTGTGTTGCTTCATTTGAGGTGCTCCATCTTTCTTCTTTTTTCCCCCTTGTGAAATCCGAGTATCATTGTTGCTGACTTTATTTTCCTCCCCTCTAAGACTTTCCCTTTTTTTCGCTCTCCTCCCTCAGCCTCCCTCATCCAGTAGGGCTATGTGATGTGGGTGACAACGCTGCGGCGTTTTTCAGCAGGTCCCCTGCGCATCCTGGGTGGTCGGGCCCGGGCAAACACAAATACAAACCGATTGCTAAGCTGCAGACAATGGGGGAAATGTAGACAAATGTCCGGCTCCCGTTGGAAGCTTTTGTCCGGCCGCAGTTTTTTGCATTTATTTCAGGCCCCGAAATAATGGATGATTGACGCCCCGCGGACAATGCTTTCTAACTGTTTGGAATAAATCTGAGATTGTTCGTAGTTGTCATGGTATTCAACTGCTTTCAATGGACTATCTCTTCATTCAATTCCAGGATCCTTCCACAATATTAGGAAAAGTCCTTCATCTCAACATAGACACACATTTCTTGGCTTTAAAGCATATATTCTATCTTCTTTACGAAAGCAGCAACTGTTGTGTCTGCAGAAAAAAATCAACCAAACTTAGAGATGCACCAATCGATTATTAATATTACTCATATTTTTATTAATAACATTTTATATTAAAAATTGCGCATTGGTATTATACTAGAACCCCTATTACTGTCAGTAATAATAGCAGTGACAACTATGATAATGATAAAAATACAAGTCCCATTATATAGCCTGAGATTTAGACACTTTCTGTGCTCAAATAGAGCACAGGTCTGAGGTAAATATTTTACCAGACTGACAGAATTAATCACAAGTCTCAACATCCAACAAAGGCTCCTTTGAGATGAACGGGCTGCATGGACAAACTGGAGCTGAGCTTGAGCTTCTGTGTGCTGGGGGAGAGAGAGGTGACTGACCTGATCCACCGGGTGATGCTGCACAGCTAAATCCAACATGTGAATGGACGTACAGCCAGCAGAAGACACACATGGAGCTTTACGCATCGCGGAGGAACGGCCCAGGAAGGCAACAGGGGGACTCCATGCGCGCACCTCATCAGGAAACTCGCTCGGCCCATGCAGGGCTTTATTTCGCTGAGATTTACTTAGTGCCTTAAAAAGTGCGTGGAGCCAAATCTGGGTATGTTTGAGCACGCAGGGTTGTCACCCGTGACATCCCGCGACTGTGACATGGAAGGAGGCTGGGTGGGGTGGGGGGAGAGGTTTTTTTTTTGGTTTAAGGCAGTGAGCTGCATATGCTCAGCTGCTGAGGATATACCAGGCTGCTATTTGATCAATTGAGCCGAGAGTTTCCTAAAGAAAAGGTAAATGTGCACTGGCTAAGTGGACGCACTCCACTTGGAGAGCCTATCGCACTCTGTTTACCTGTTTACTTTCGCAGGTAGTTCAAACAGGCCTCTCGCCTCTGTGACGGTGGCAAGTGTGCACAGTATTTTCTTTTGTTCAGGAAAACAAAACGAGTTAAGAAAAAAAAACTCACAATATACAAGATCGAATGTGCAAATGCTTCATTTAGAGAAAAATAATATAAATATTTCGCTAAACGAACGTAGTAACCATTGGAATTTTATTTTATTAATTGTTATTCATTGTTATTGGGATTTGATCGTTTCTTTGATTTTGTAAAATGATAAAGTTTGTCTCAGTATGTAAAAAAGACAAAGATTAAACTAATTTCGCTGGTTTCTCTGTCGATACAGAAGATAAAGCTTAAGAAGGGCCTCTGAGATGCAGATGCATCAGGAATTAGGAGACAGCAAGGGGGGGAGTGCGCTTCTTCTTCCTAATACCTCGCTTGCTTCAGTCGAGCTAATTCCAGAACTGAATAGGATAATATTTCTCTAATGAATTTGTTTTTTTGCAGCAGGCTTCTCAGAAAACATGCATAGTATCATTTTTCATGTGATCCTTCCCGCTGTAAATATGCTACAACCAGTCCTCCCATTTTAATAATAGCCACAGACTAGATCATTGTTCAGGCACATTAAAGTTTTTTTTTTTAATACCATTCTCATTCAAAAACAATTATTTTTTTCGGATCAACCTCCCTTTCAAGAAACACAAAAATGAATCCGGTCTGATTAATTTTAATTCCCTCCTAAAAATTCATGCCCACGATTGTTCCCACAATAAGTAAAGAAAGGGGGTTTTATATTACTGATTGAATAAATCTTTCGATTGAAAGCGCAAATAAAAATGCCGCAGGATGATCCATAATAGCGTTGATCAGTGCTTCCTTTTAATCGCTGATTTTCAGCATGTTGGGACGCCTGAGGGATGGAGTTGGTCTTTGATAAAGGTAACCCCGCTTGCCTCAGGGCAGCTGTGATAAATGTATAGAGTGACAAGCCTCCTATGATTAAAAGCCAATATATTAAAAAAAAGGTAAAGCTGCTGCTGCCTTATTTATTGCTGCCAAGATGGCCGGGGGACACTTGGCTTCAGGGGAAGATTTTTTTTTTTTTTTTTTACATTTTTATACCCCAGAAAGCCAACCTTCTTTTCCTTCAAGGAAAAAAAAAGCCTTTATTCTTCTTCCTTTCTATAATGATTAAACATGTCAGTGCGAGATTATAGAGTCGCGCCCATGACCCGAGGAGATGCCTTCATTTGTTAAACCACCAGTTTATTTGTAACGCTGAATTTCATGCCATGCTGAGCCAATAGCCCTAATCTTTCCACTGTGTGTCAAAAAAAAGAAGTCGCTTAAAAAAAAGACATATTATTTTTTAATCACTTCCCCCCTTTTCTCTGTCGCACTGTCACTGGGCGGAGGTGAGGGAAACGCTGACTTTTTAATCAAAAGAGGACGCTTATAATGAAAAAATTTAAAATAAATAAATAGATTAAAAAAACGGAAAAAGGGCATTAAAAATAAAGAAATATTTCCTTTGGAGGGTTTGATATGAGGGCTTCTGAATGACACAAGAAGCTGCAGATAACTTATCCTCCTTGTGAGGTGTCTTGTTTGTGAGAGCGGTAATAACATTAACAGCTGTTCACATCTGTAGAGCTCTAGCGGTCTCTACCGGCAAAATTAAGAAACAACAGGGGGTGATCTTCAGATTAAACTACTTATATTAAACAAAATGTTGGTTATACAGACTAAGAAGCCATGAGGTAATGATTTCTTATCATTAAACTGTGCGAGGCTCATCATTTTTGTACGTTTTTTTTTCCTAATAAACTATCCAATTTCATTTCGATAACATTATAGTCCGAAAAACACAGCATTGTTATAAGGGATTAATCTGCATTTCAGCATTTTACAAACTTTTTAGAAGGAAGAAAGAATGCTTTTTGTGCTTTGCCTTGATCTGATTTAAAGGCTTCACAAAAAAGCCACAATATAACTGGTCTGCTGTTGTTAATGTGGTGATGGAGAAATCTTTTCTTTTTTTTTGCTTTAATTCCGAAATATCCGACCTCGTCTATAATCTGCCATGGGTTTGTAGTCTATGAAAAAAAAAAAATGAAAACTCAGTCAGAAATCCAGTAATCATTACAAGTACGAGGAATTATTTGGATTTTAAACAAATCAAGGAAGGAGGGAAAAAAGAAGTAAAAAGACCAATAAAAAGAAAGGAAAGAAAAGAAAATCTGCTTAAAAGAACTTTATACCGCATGTAATTCTACATGGCGCATTCAAACATCGATTTTAGTTCCCCTGTCGAACAACAACAAATCCTACCATGACTCTTTGCGCTAACAAACTATTTCTAAGGTGGGTTTGATTAATTAGACTAAAAAAAAACTTAAATGAATAACTTATAGGCCACAGTTACGCTTTGAGTTTACTAAGTACAGAGATGTTTACTTTTCAGTTTTTTTTTTTTGTTTTTTTGCAGAAAAGTTTTACCTTTTTTTCTTTTTGTTTGTTAGAGCTCAATAACCAAGCATGGACCGCTCAGCTGAATGCGTAATGATCACCAGCTACTGTGTGCAAAAAATCCAAAACAACAGGCCTAGCACACACAAACAAAGACGAAATAAATAATCATTTTGACCAAAGCCAATCTTTCCAAAGTGCATTTATGTCAAAACATAAGAGAAAACACAAAAGTTCACATTGGAAGACAAAAAGTTTCTGTTAATATATAAAAATACAAATGAGAGTGCGCAAAGTTGCCTGGAGCACAGGTGTCCTTACCTAAACTGGAAGGTGTCTGTATGTGTTGGCAGCGTTAGGACAGCAGCAGAGTTAATGAAATATCTCCAAATGGGAGACAAGAGTGCGTGCAGTGATAAGCCTGATGTGGTTTATATACCCAGAAAGCAAGTGCTCCTCTTCTCATATTGTCCAAGAGCGTTTGCATAGCTGGCCAAGTGGCTGTGCTCTTGCTGACTCGCTAACATTGTGCGATGTTTGTTTTCCCCCTTGGTGTGACGTGAGACAAAATATTGGCCATATGTTCATCTGCAATAAATTGGTCCTGGGCGCAAACATAGGACCCCCCCTCCTCCAGGAAGACGGTGCTTTTAAACTCATAAGGCAAGTTTTC